TTTGTAAAACTGGTATAGTGCTTTTTGTTCTGGAACGGGGAATTAGCTTGGTTATGATTGAACCATCCATGACTTCTGGGAATAACATGATGCAATTTATATCATGTATGATGCAATACCAGCTTCAGATTGCATCATTCATTGTTTTGCCTAAAAAGCAAGTGCTGTCCAAACCCAGTCATAGATTTATTCATAGATCCAGTCAAAGATGTATTTTAGTCATTTCTGGTTTAAATGGAGATCCCTTCCCTTTATAACTCACTTATCCTCGGCCATTCCCAAGTAAAGGGTCATATATACTGGCCCAATAGCATATCTTGAAAACTAGAGCCAATCAACAATTTTAAGCATCATTTTCGTTCTCAGTGACCCAGAATTAGTAAAGTTTGACTACATTTATTTCAGAAGCATTTTGGCTGTAGAGCAGTGTTACCTACATGCTAAACATAATATTCATATACATGATAAATTAACAGAAACATCTCTATTCACAAAGTCTGGTTTATTTTATTTTCACATAATAAAACCAAGTTTCTTAATGCTGACATTTAACAGAAATCAATTCTGTGGATTTTAAAATGATTCAGACCAGACAAAAATATTATGAGGTACAGAGAAACTTAACGCTAAAGAGCTCCATATTCAAGTTTTTGCTGTAATGCAATAATAAACTGTAGAAGAAAAAGAAGCAATTAGAAAATGTGTCTTAGCTATCATTAATCTGCATCAAAGGAATATAATGATGCACATTGTGTGTCTTTCAAATTATTCTCTATTATGGGTTTCAGAAGAGAAGTTGAGAAATCTCTTTGACAAACTAGTCCCTTATTAAAAATCAAAGGGAAGTGCTTTGGTACCATCTGTGCAACATTAGTGCCTTCACTGAAGAATGATTATTTTGCAAGTTAAGTATTCAGCAATGGGGGGAAAGAAAAAAAAAGAAAAGAAATTCCAGCTATTCAAACACTCATCTTTAGCTATTATGAAAAATGTCACAGCACACACAAAATGCAATGTAATCTCTTACAGAAGGCATCCGATATGTTTCCCTCCACACCAAAAAATTAGAAACTAAATTGTGATCTATAAAGGCTAATCAAAGTTAATCTTTTTTGCTGCTCACCAGCATCAATGTGTGCTTAACAGGATCTGACCAACACCTGTAAAGTCTGGTTTAATATAAGGAAGGGAAAGAGAATTTTAAAAAGCTTTCAATTTAACTATTATTCTAAGGTATATGATGTCATGAAGAATAAGATAAAATTATCTATAAATGGTTGTCAGGAAAATTTATGACAGACAATCTCTTCTCTTTAAAGTACATTGAACTGAGAAAATCTGCTGAAGTATTTAGAAGCTAATTTTGAAAGGTACTACTGTAAATCAGGCTTCTTTATCTCTAGTATGCCATATATTATGTCTATGATTCGACAAGTTCTTCCTAATTACCCACCTTAATTACAGTAATTATATACTTTCTAGTAAATGCAGGTAATAAGGTTCACTTGGAAAGGGAATTGTCAAAAATGGTGAAACAAAAAAGCCTTGCAACTCTGGGGATGACAGAGCTATTAATGACAATAATTCAGAGGAGCAGTTTATCTCCTCCTTCCCAGTGGAGAAGAGGACTTTTGTATTTTGGGAAAGGGAGAAGAATATTCAAAGTCAAATAAAAGTCATTATTAGCAATTGCAGCAACATACACAATCTTTCAGGTGAAGGTGTTAGTGAAAGGTTTTTGTAGTTCTAGGAGACGTCTTCAAAATTTTAATTCTTCATAATATACAGAGAGTACATGTACAAATCTAGAGAATATCGAGACAAGAACACAGTTAAGTGCAATTCTACTAAACATATGGCATGCTTTAATGCACAGATAGAAAAGATGGAAGTTGGTATGCAGGCACAGTAGTTGATTTTCTATTATATACTCCATTTTGTGCCCTATATGGGTATAATCAAGCCCTTACTATGTCACAATTGCTTGTATTCAAGATTTCATAAAATAGTTTAATTGTTTAAGGAGCAGCATCATAGATTCAATGCTGGCTAAACAAGATACATTCTTAAGGTATTCTAATTTTTAATTTAATTGCATGTGAATTAAAAATTTAACTGTTCCATTAACACATTCAGTAACTGTATTGCCACCTGCAGGCTGTTTCTTAGAACACAATTCCAATATTAACCACTTTTTCTTTTAAGATGTGTAGATTCAAGTCTACACAATTGCAGAACTTACTTTACAATTGCAGATTTGTTCTCCATTTTGTGGTATAAAAAGGTGGTTAAAGAGATAGCACTTTTTTGAGAGAAAGAGAGAGCAGAACACAAATCCAACAAATCAAAGTTCTCCACTTAGGTATACATACTACCAGCTACTTATACTCAAGGGCAACAGAAATCTGACTGCTTTGTTTTCTTGTCTATTAGAGAGCATGCTGCTTAAGACTGGCTCCAAATGCAGGATCCCAAGTGTAAATACTAAAAGATGGTCTCTCACCAACAGAAGTTGGCCTAACAAAAATAAATAAATAAATAACCTCACCCCCACTTTGTCTCTCTAATATCCTGGGACCGACACAGCTACAACTACACTGCATACAAAAGCTGGTCTTAGCACTTAAGACACTGAACTGGAAGTCAGTCATGGGTCCCACCCCAAGTTCTGCCTCAGACCTCAGGCCACTCAATCTCTAAAATGAGAGTTAAACAAACAAACAAACAAACAAAAACACACCCTTCCTTTCTCTCACCCCGTCTTGTCTATTTAGACTGGCGGCTCTTCAGAGCAAGGGTTATCAGACTAGGTGCCTTTATAGCAACAAGGACAACGTGGCCAAGATCACCGTTGGGGACTATGCACACTAACTAACAAAAGAGACCCCATATTCTGGATCCAGTTTTTCACTTGAGGCTCCAACAGCAGGAGTCCAGGACAGACACTTTTTTCTGTGTGTGCTGCAGGCTAGCTCAAAAGCAGCTGGTCCCCCAACACACAAATACTTTCCTGGAATGGCATCCATGTGCAATAGTTGAGTCTGATACCCCTTCCAGCACAACCACCTTCCTGCCCTCCTGCTCCACTCACAAAGACTGCCCCAAAACTCATCTTTGTCCATCATGTTGGTGTTACCAAATCTCTGCTGCAAAGACAGCTTGCTCCTGATTTCCACCCATCCTCAATTACATGGAGAAGGCCCCTTCCAAAATTACTCCACATATGCATGTGGAAGCAGAATAATAACTTGCTCTATTTGCCTTGCTACACACACAAACAAATGCAAAAGGCACAACCACAAAAATAGAAATCTGTTCATTTCTTATTGCCATAGGACAAAAATCTGGCTGAAAGTAAGCCTTGGCATGAAGGGTTACTTTTTTGTGGCTTTACTATATTTGTATTGTCTTTAGTAACCCACCTGGAACCCTGCAAAAATACATTGATCTACATTGTGCAAATTACCATCATAACCACAAAGGTCTGATCCTGCAAAGCCATATATATATTTAACTTAACACTTGTGAGGTAGTTCCACTAGACACACATCTATGGGAAGTGACAAATTTCCAAGGGCAAACAGGAGTGGCAAAACAACCTAGAATAGCACAATTTGTAAATCTTCAATTCCTGCAGCCTTCTATCATTCGTCATTAGATGCCTTTATTTTCATTTGATCGAGCCTAGTCACCTAGTTATGCCATCCATAGCATCTCTGACAATACACTATCAACATCCCTTAAGTTTTTTCCTTAAATCAGGAATGAGAGACTAATAAAAGGTCACTAATACTTAATAAGAGAGGAATCCTCCAAAAATGGAAAATTAATCACCATATCACTTTATATTTTAGCACTCTACTGCTGCAGTAGTACTGAAAAATTGCTTGTAAAAATACTGTAGTGATTTAAAAAAAACAGATTGGACACAATAAAGCTCAAGTTTCTCAAAGCTGAATACATTTATCTTTAAAATAATTTCAAGAAAATATTTCATCTGTTACTCTGGTTTCCACTGCATGGGCATAAACCATATTTTAAAATACATTTCATTCTATTCTTCTTGTAATTAAAGCCACCATATAGGGAAACTTCACTTCAGACCAAAATAACCTCATGCATGATTTTCTCCATTCATTTTGACATTTGGAGTACCATTAAAGTTCACTCTATAACCATAAAAGGTTGTTCCTCAGCTTTGACTATTATTCTTCAACACTATATAAAAGTGCCTCAAGCCAATCACTTCAAAAGCCCTCCCTTCCCATTATACGCCTAAAGAGCTTCACCACACTTAAATATTTCCCCTAACCCTATTAAACTGTCATCCACATTTTCTATCTTACTCATAGCTTTTGATTACCCAGAGATTTCAGCTGCGTAAGAAAAAACTCTTCATTTACTGTTAGATGTGTCCTTTAGCCTCGCTGCTTCAGTGATATCACAATCCAGTGTTTGGATGTCAAAAAAGGACTACCATAGCAGTGATTGTGATGTGAACCTTTTGGGGGAATCAGGTTGATAAAGGAGAATCTTCTATTTAGCTTAATATTGGAAATAAGCAATGAAGAAAAGAAGTACCTTATCTGTATTTGACAGCTAAATGAGTGTTTTCTAAAATGTGATAACTACTCAAGAGACTCGCTACAATCATTTTGCCTCAATCTTCCCTTCTTTGTCAATCAGCCAAAAGTTTGGTAAGGAAATAATGGAAGTGAAATCCCAGATCAGCAACTCTGCAGTTTTATAGCTCAGTCACTAACACAAATGACAGATTTCCACAACAGAGAATAGGTACAGTTGTGTCATTTTGGTTTCTGACAATCCAAGAGAATTGAGACTCACCTCCCTCCCCATCATGAAGCAGAAAGCATAAGTTTTCACATGTACAACAACCTAATCTGAAAACTAATGGGCACATTACATATTGGGCTGCAACAATGTGAGAATGGTAAGTAAAAAGAACCCTGCACCCTCAATGACATTGCCTTGTATAGGGCTCACTGAAGAATTAAGACTTAGAACTTTATACACACTCACAAATATACAGTATAGCACATGACAATGCTCGCCATTTTCCTACTTGTAATTCATCATGTCATGTGACTTGGGAATGTTACATACCTTTAACTCTAAACTTAGCAGACAGATTCTAATGAATTGTGGACTAATGCAATTCTAGACTTTTTCCCTTTCTTTAGTAAGGATCTAGGTAGATTTGAAGGAGATAAATCCAGCAACTGTTCTATTCAAATGCAGATTTTCCAAAGAATGATTTGATATAACCTTTCAGAATCTTTAAAAAAAGACAGTTTTCGCATCCTTTAAAAGCATATGAAATTGACCCAAGTTTGAATAGGGAGCACAATGTGGGGAGACTGAGGTCTTGTCTTACCTGTGACGTCTTTGCCCAGTAGATGTCGCAGTTTGCTGCACAGCTGGATCATGTTGTCTAGCTGCCTATTTATTTGCACATCTTGTACCCAGGCTGGCGTGTGACACACTGGGCATTCTGTGCCAATACAGTCACCCACACAAGCTCTGAAAGTCAAGCATGTATAAACACAAGTCATTCAACACAAGTAAACTGGCACATTCACTTCAGCATCCAGCTAGGTTAGCAGTGGATAGGCAAGTCTTTTTTATTTTAATACCAAAAAGCTGACAATGCAAAGAGTACAAGAATTACTTAAAATTCACTTTCCACTGCAGAAGAAGAAATCAACTATTTGGCCTGGCAAATTACAAGCCAGAATTAAGCAAGCCAAGTCCAAAAGTCTTATCAGGAAGCTGTGCCATCAAAACTGTTTAATAAACTTTTGAATCTCACACTCACCCACGTTAATCAACATTTAAAATATTCCAAAGCTCCACTTCTACACATTGTTTCTGTTAATAGGGCATTACATTTTTGAGTAGCTTAACTCTAGATTCTTCTGTCCCCTCAACTAAACTGTGCTGTTTTTCAACAGTATTCTTTCTTACAAGTGTGATAGAAAATCCAATCAATGGTAAGCTATGACTTTCACCTGTGTTGTTAAAACTGTCTTGGTACTGTTAAGTTACATACCTCTCAACATTTCTCAGTAAGAAGTCCCCCAGGAGTCCATAGGTGTCGGAATTATTTTATCACTTTATTTTTTTCAGAGCGTTTGTCTCTGAAGAGCTCAAGGAGAAACAAGTTTGCTTAGTAAAGGTCACTTAAACCCAAACTTGTAGGTTCCAAATACTACTTTTCCATCCTCCTCCACGTAATTATATTTACTCATTTGATTACTCTGGCAAAAAGACTTTTGGGTCCACCATACAAGTTATCAGGTGGGATTCTCAAAAGCACCTATCTTATGTTTATGGGACTAGTGCTCTCTAGATTCATACCCTGGCTTGCCATGCACAAAGTCTCCATAGGCCTGACCTATGACATGACTTCAATGGGAGCAGTTAGGCCAACACTGAGGGGTTTTGAAAGTCTCTCTGAAACCACCACACTAAAGTATATTTCTCTGTTAATTTCAAGGTGGGAGATTTTTTCAAAGGCACAAATGACAGTTACGTGCCTGATATCTGTATCTTTGAAACTCTTTCCCCATGAACTTCACATTGTTGAAAGAACAAGTGGTCTTGCAGTTAAGGCACTGGATTGAGACTATGGAGATTTCAGTTCAATTTCTGGCTCAGACAGGCTCCTTGTGTGACATTTGGCAAGTCACTTATAGCCACGTTTTTAAAAGAACCCAGCTGATCTTGTTCTTAGTGGGAGCTGCCAGGTGCTGAGTATTTTGGAAGTTAAGCTGTTAATCTCTCTTTGCATCAGAAACTATTATCCCATATATATATGTACACACACACACATATATACCACTATCTTCGTGCATAACATCCATTCACTGTAGTTAACCCACTGAAGTTACGTTGGATCAGATCATACTACAGGGATTGAATTCAAATAATAAATATCACAGCCCATAAAAAAATCTCCAAAATGTGACCCAATTACTGCAGGTCACTTACTTTCACACATTTATCTTTATACAACATTGTCACCCGTTTTCCCCGCTCTTTTAATATATTAATAGTTTTCTCTATTTGGTTGTGGACCAGAATAACCTCATGTCAGACTTTGACCTGACCTCTTGCTGGCTTGTTTGGAAACAAACTACTGTTGACTAGCCTAAACCACCATATAAAGTTCAACAAAACAAACAGCCACTATGCAGGAATAAGCCACCCCAGGAAACGGATTAGAAATGATGATCAGAAGGTACAGATGAATAATAAACTAGTTCACCACTGAATAAATAAAGGACCATGATACAGTTATTTGGAGTATATCAGTAATACAGACTATTTGCTTTCTAGCAGCAAGACCTGGAGGGGAAAAAAAAGCACCTTTTATCAAAAGCTAAGGTGCCCGTTGGTTACGCCTCCTGACCCTCAACACAGATTACAGCATCTTTTGATGTTCTGTAAGCTTTTACTTTAAAAAAAAAAAAAAAAAAAAAATAACTTACTTCAATAATAATATCCAAATATCTTAGAAGATTTGTTCTCCAAATTAGAGAGGGGTTATCAAAAACTAAATTACTACGTTTTAGATGTCTGACAACCAGCCAATTAACTCAATTAAAGATTCCTAGTACTACTCCCCAATGATACATATTACCACCTCTCAAAATTGCTTTTATTAAAACAATGATATATCCTACACATAGTAAAGTCTCTTGACCAAGACTAAATTTGAGGATTATTTTGCAGAGCATCAAATATTGTGCGGTAAGATGGTGTAAATGGAACAGGGCAAAAGGCTTCCAATAGAGCTTGAGAAATAGTGATTTAAGAGATCGGATGTGAGGTTCCACAGAAGTTGTAGACAATGTCTGGAAGAGAAACAGTGGCTGTGGTGGAAGTAGGTCACTTTGGGACCTTTTCAACAGATTTAAATGGGGAAAGATATCACCAGAAGCTCCATGGAAAGTGTGTAATTGCTGCCCTTTAATTTACTAGCCCTGAAGAATCAGAAAATGCCTCTTGCTACCATTTCCCCACCAAGGCCCTTAAGGCAACACAGAGTTAAAAGACCTGCAGCACAGACGCGGCTGGCCCAGGTCAGCTGACTAGGGCTCGTGGGGCTATAAAATTGCAGAGTAGATGTTCAGGCCTGATGTTTATGCAGCTTTGTACTGCAGATCAAATGCTTTGCTGGTAAGTAATTCAACTGTGCTCTATATGGCTTGAGATTAGTGTTTGAGGATCTGAGTGCTCTGAAACTTTATTCATTTCTTAAATGGCATGATCAGTGAGGAGGTACTCTTGCAATTCCAGCATTTGTCAAGGAAACGTTGGCTAACACTCAAAAGGCGTTTGAGTCTGAAGACACAGAGTCCTTACAACATATTATTAGAGACTCATACTGCTGTAACTCAGTATATGCTACAACTACTGGGTAGCAGTGCTGTATGACCACAGCAAGAAAGAAAAGGAGACCCACAGAGACCTGAATTGCTTGCACCTCGAACTAGCCATCAAAAAGGACAAGTCATTGGCCAAACTCCTGCCACATGATAACAGTGTTGATGAACATGTCAAAGGGGCATCTTATCAAACAAAGATCTGGATGTCTATGCAACAGAGGTAAACCACATATTGGATCACCATTGCAAGATGGATGGAAAAATGTGGATAATGAACTATTTCCCATATTCTTCAAGGGCCCAGTGGCATCTAAGCTTCTATAAGACCTTATTTGTGTCTGTACCAGTATGCGTCATTGCACAATCAACAGTGTCTGTAGTCAGAACAATCTTCCCAGCACAGAACTGTGTACATGCCAAGGAAACGAAGACTGTGGCAACTCCCACGCTCTTGACCGAGATCATAATGATGAACAAAATGATAATGAAGTTGACCGGAAATGTCAGCCACACTATTACATTTAATGATACCTGTGCAAATTTATTATTAGATTTTGTTTTATCCTTTGGATCATTGTTGTGATGCTTTGAGGTCACAAAATCCAATATTGAGTCTTTAAACCAATGGAAGTGAATGTAAATATTTGAACCGGTTGATGGTGTCATTGTTTATACCTATTTCTTTGGTAACAACACTGTGTGACAGCTTCACATCATGCCTCATCTTAAAATAGACATAATAAGCTTTCAAATGACGTATGATGTGTGGTGTCTGCCACTCTCTTGCCTACACTGGAAAAGGGAGAGCCCCACCTGAGGGAGAATATATTGACCACGTAACCTTTATGGGCACAGTGTCTATTGTATTAACAAGAGGTTACGGCGAAATGCAAATTATTGTCTTACAACTGGCATCAAGTAAACTGTTAAGCTAAGGACTTGCATATCTTCCCATCTCTAACCTGATCCTGCATGCTCCATGGGAATTTCTGGACAATAAAAACAGAAAGTGTTCTCCCTTTCCTGCTAGTTGGATACATTAAACCCTCTGCGTTTGCTTTGGTATGCCAATATAACCTATGAATACTTCTGCCTGTCCAATATGTACATTGTCCTCTCAGATGAGGGTACTACAGCGTGGACAAACTATTGAATCTTTCCAGACTAATTCCTGTAACTGAAAGACTCCTCTTGGTATTCTCAGCACTACAATTCAAATATAAAGAAGATAATTTTAGCCTTTCTGTTCAGATAATTTGCCTCTTACAAACACAACTCAGGGTAAACTAAAACCCTAAATATGTAGGCACTGATCCTGCTAAAATCTCCATGCAGACAGACCTCTGCACCCACCTGGACCCCTACTAAAGCCAAAAGGGGCTCTGCATGGGCTGATCTCTGTGGGATTAAGGCCTTAATCCCAAGATTTATGATTTCTTGTGAAGACCCAATCAGGCAGAGCTAATGGTTCCTTTTATTTAAAAAAAAAACATTTACACATCTAATTTTCCCTGTTGTATTCCCCATGCTCTTCCGTTCCCACAGAACAGACTATAAGAATAAGGACAGCATGAATTTCAAATATTACTCTTTTAAAACTGTTTAGCTTTTTCTTTTGACCTCACTGTCTCCAAACCAGGAAAACTTACACACATGTAGAACAGTCCCACTGATGTCAACTGAACTACTCAGAAATGGAAAGTTAAGGGTATTATACATAACTGTTTGCAGGACTGGGGTCCTTTTCTTTACAGCTGTTTCATATAAAGTAAATACGGTACTTACAGACAGAAGACATGCTCACATTTTCCCAAGCACACAGGTTCCTTAAGGATGTTCATGCTATTCAGAGAGGAAGGAAAGCATTAATGATTTAAAAAAGTCTTAGCTCCTAGAACACCAAAGAACCAATTAGTTTGAAGGCATCTGCATTTGTGCCTGCAGTTAAAACATTATTGCTAGCAGGACGCTAGCATGGTTTTCCTGATGAGCTTGAGATATTCTGTTTGAGGAGTAGTGTTATAAATCACGCTACTGAATAAGTGGAAAGTAGCATGGTTCTCTGATAAAATGTCTCCTTCCATAATAATCAGGGAAATCATTATAGAACCCAACAGCTTTGTAAGCCCACTGACAGCTAGCATGGTTCTGATTCCAATGTAGATGCATTTACTGCACAACCAGCTTCCTTAGGCTCTGTCCAGACAGCAGCAGATCAAGCTGACAACAGCTGTTTTCTGAAACAAGTAAACACAGCTCTGCTTCACTACATTAGCACTGCTCACTGTTAATCTCTCTAGGGAGGTATAAGCCCATTACCACAGTAGCCAAGTATTGGGAAAGTCAAGGGCATTTTTACAACAGTTTTACAACACAATCATTATAGGGTTTCAACTCCCTCTGAGGTGGATGTCCTTTTGGTCACACCACCTAACTATGCCAATGCAATTACATTAGAAACAGCAGATCCTCAACATTATAGAACCCTCCTCTAGGGCAGGATATCAGTTTCAGATGGTTTAATATGTCTGGTCTGGAGGTCAAAAGTGCTCTAGCAGGAAGCACTAAGGGTACCTATGGAACGGGGGTTGTTCGCTATTTATTCTAAGTGCTCAAGGACAGAACAGTGTATAATTCCTGTCTCCCAGAGTTCCTACACATTAACAACACTTAGGCCTCAGGCTGCCATCAGACAGGCTAGCCAGACTCTCATGAAGCCCCAGTGGGACTCTGAAGGGAAGACAGGAGTGTCAGGTAATGTGGGATCACACCAGCATGAGTTCTTATCACATATATATTAGGAATGGAGTGGGCCCCAGGAGATGGGAATGGGCCCCTCAGCTTCAGCCATGTCAATGCCAGGATAACCGAGGAGGGAGGATGATAAAGGGTGATCTGGAGAATTCCTGGAAGAGTATTGGCATGGGGATAACTTGTATGGACCAATCTCCCCACCAGATGACAGAAGGGGCCACAGGGGTGGGTCAGTCACTCCGCAGCTGTGGAGAGGTCCCCTTGGGGTGGGTCAGTCTCTCCGCAGCAAAGGACAGGGGGGAATCCTGGGGGCAGGGCAGGCAGTCTCTCTACAGGAGAGGGTGTTTTGGGAGGAGCCCCAGGGGCCAGGTCAATCTCCCCATGGGGGGGGAGGGTGTTTAAGGGGGGGTCGCAGGGGCCAGGTCAATCTCCCCATGGGGGGGGAGAAGGGTCACAGGGAGCCCCAGGGGGCAGGTCAGTCTCCCCGCAGGGGGGTTGTTTCAGGGACAGCCCCAAGGAGGTGAGTCGGTCTCTCCCCGCAGGGGGAAGGGCAGGATCCTGGGGGTGGGGGGGTATCTGTCCCCAGGGAAGGGGGGTCAGTCTCTCCCAGCGGGATGCGGGGGGGTAT